GTGTAACCACAGCTATCCGTCCCGTGGGTGTCGTAAGAGCCGCCTAACGAAGCAAACTACGCAGGAAATAAGCATTGCAAAGAGAAGGAAAACTTAATACAAGCCCTTTTTTTTTTTTTACGTGTGGAAATCCCCTCGGACCGTCACCCCGCCGGGGCTCTCGTTCGGCGGGGCGGTGTGTCGGACTCGAACCGACTAAAACCACACGGTGTTCCCTCTTTGCGCTTCCAGTTTAGGAGGGGTCCAGGTAGTTATCGTCTTCTGGACCCCTCCCAGCGCCGGCCCGCTCCTGGCGCGGGCTCCGTCTCTGAATTTTCCTCTCTTTAGGCGACGTCCGGCTCGCGGCTGGCCAACTAATGCGGGTGGAGGGGAGAACCCATCCCGTCCACCCGCTTCCTCACTCAGGGCGGCATGAGGCGCAGGTGAGCGAGGATCAGGTCCGAGTGGAGGTCGTCCTCCCGGGCCTTCTCCGCCGCCTCCTTCTGCGAGATGACCTCCTCGCAGAAGGTTGCGACCGCGGTAAAACAACTGTCACTACCGGCCATGGAGCGAATTACGGCCGGTAGCGAGAGATCTGCTCCGATGACTGCAGCGAGGGCCCGGCGCTGCGTCGCCCATGCCGCCAGCGTGTGCTGGGCCGAATCCTCACTGCAGTCGCAGTGGTGGCAGGCGGGACTCGATTCCCTCCTAGCGACCGAGTACAGGTACTTTCCGAAGCAACCGTGCCCGGAAAGCACCTGCGTCAGCCGGAAAGAAAGGGTCCCGTGCTGCCGCCCTGCCCACTCGGCGATGGCGAAGCCAGCGCGTGGAGTCTCCAGCCGGAACGACCATCTGACCATGGTGGCTCGGCGAGCGGCTTCGCGCCACTCGCGCACGTCTTCGGGCGGAGGGCGAAATCCGCTCTCCGCCCGGAAGTCAGCCACTCGCCGATAAACTTCGGCGAGCACCCCCGCCTCCAAATCCCACGGGGGTGTTCCGGCCAAGGCGCAAGCCGCCTCGGTGGACACCATGCGGTATCCGCGTATGGCTCTGACCGCCAATATCCTCTGGGGGCGCCAGAGGCGCGCCCTATTCGGGGCGGTCAGAGCCGCCACCCACACCGGTGCACCATAAAGTGCCATGGACCGGACAACCCCCGCGTACTGCCGCTCGTGGGAACACTGGCCCCGCCCAAATTGGGCAAAAGTCGCCCTAGGGCGGAGGCAGTGTCCACCAGCTTCGGACCAAGCTGTTGGAAGTGCTCGTCGAAGAGCCACCTACCGTCTAGGACCAGACCCAGGTACCTCATCTGGGCCCGGACCGGTACGAGGACCGAGCCGACCTCGATTGAGGCGCCGGCGGGTGAACCACGACGGGGCCCATGAAATAATAGGGCCTCCGTCTTATCCAGGGCCACCCGCAAATCCCAACTCCTCAATGCGCCCGACCACCAGGGAAACTCCCGTGGCGGCCAGGCGCGCCGCCTCCTGGAAGTTAGCCCCCCGGGCCGTGAGCAAGGTGTCATCCGCGTAGCAGATTACACCCAGCCCAGGGGGGAGACGCCCTCGTAGGGCCCAGTCGTACCCGATGCTCCACAGGAGAGGTCCTAGGACAGACCGCAAGACATGGCCCTGCGTCTCAAGACGCCATCTCGGTCCTCGTACATGACTTTTCGCTCCTCAAGATAGTCTGCCACCAGCAGCCTCAGGTACTCCGGCACTCCGTGGTAGCGGAGCGCTTCCCTGATGCAGCTGAATGGCAGACTATTGAAGGCGTTGGCGATGTCCAAGGACACCGCCAACACCACTCCGCCGAACTTAACACAAGCCCTATACCAACCCGTCTGGCTAGCGAGGTATCTTAGGCCTCTTAGGTATCTTAGGCCTCGCTAAGGAGAGCTACGCCAGAGGTAGTTCGATTCCCACTAAGAACAAATAATTGTTTGATGAGCACGGTCATTTGTTCTGTCTGGGTGTACTCTATCTCTAAAATGTATGTATTTAAAAATATATAAATACGTTTATCAGCAATCTGGTTACCATAGTACAGGCTCTGTCTAGTTTGGGATCAGACTGCCGTGTGTGAGATGTGTGTGAAAAAATAATATATTTGTGAAAAACATTTCTAAATGCATACATATTATACATAAATGACACCCAGACACAGAACAAATGATAGTGCTCATCACACAAATATTTGTCCTGGATGGGAATCGAACCCACGACTTCCAACTTAGCATTCAGGGTCCTAAACCACTAGAACAACAGGCCTGTCGAAATTGATGATTCAGGAAATACAGTTTTTTTTTTTCTATTAATCATGGCAAATAATCTTATTGCAGCCCAGTAGAAGACATTTCCTAGACAAGCCTTTAGTTGGAGAGACTTTACTTAGTCACAAGAGAAACTAATACAAAGTTTTTAATAAAAACTGGAATAATACTAAATGCTTCTAATTCTCATGAGAGTTCCGTCTGAGCGCGTTCATCGTATATCAACAGCCCTTACATCACCAACCATTTGGACGTGATGTTTTTATTATTAAGTAAGTACCAACATTTTTATCTTTTTTTTCTTATCTCCCGAGTGAGTTTTCTATTAACTACGATTACTCAACGTTTATTATTTGAAACTAACTTTTCCCGCGGCTTTGCCCGCGTGTATATCAGTTATCGCGGTAAAAACTAGCCTATGTCCTTTTCCAAGATCAAAGTATCTCCATACCAAATTTCATCTAAATCGTTTCCCCTTTTTCACCCCCTTAAAGGATACTATCTGAGATAAAAAACCTATGTCCTTAACCGGGACTCAAACTATCTCAATATCAAATTTCATAAAAATCGGTTCAGCTATTTAAGAGTGAAGAGGTAACAGACAGACACACTCGTATTTATAATATTAGTATGAATGTGAAGAAATTACTACAAATTATTATTAACTAGCTGACCCGGCGAACTCTGTTCCGCCTTAAAGGCAATAAATAAGCCCATTTTCGAATTTAGTAAGTTAATTTTTTTCTTAAAAAAATAAATGAAGTACATTAATCATTTATTATTGTTTCTGCATTTCAGTAGATACGTTGCTCTTCACTTAAGTACCTTGTGATACACGACATTTTTTGTTTTCTTATCAGGCGCAAAAACAAACAACGCAGGTGGTGTTCCGACCCGTGAACATGCCACATATAATTGACCATGGGAAAAACATGGATGTTCGTAAAAAAAACAAAAAAAAAAAAAACACTGTTGAACGGAATAAATAGTATCCTATGTCCGTCTCCTGGCTCTAAGCAACCTCCCCACCAATTTTTAACCATATCTGTAAAGCCGTTCTTGAGTTATAAATAGTGTAACTAACACGACTTTCTTTTATATATATAGATTACGAATTAATACAAAAACGTAGAAAACTAACAGAGTGGAGAAAGAGTAGACCCGTTATCATTACGTTAGCAAAATCATTATCTGGCTATTTTTATATCGTGTGGCAACAAAGCAGACGGGTCACCTAACTTGATAACAGACGACCGCGCCCCATGTACACCTCTTTTTTTTCTTTTTTTTTTCCGTGCGGAAATCCCCTCGTATACCACCTATCGGTGGCATGTCGGACTCGAACCGACTAAAACCGCAAGCCGCCTCGGGTACTAATAGCCGGAGAACCAGGTATACCCTAGAAATTAAGTCCCTGGTGCCCCGACATACCTCGGGCCATCTACAACAACAGGTAGACGACCCCCCCCCCCCGTGTGGGAACCCCATGTTCCCTCTGCTCCCTGGAAGCGAGCGCGCTTCGCAACACGCTCGCCGCCACCCCGGCCTGCTTCTGGTAGGGTGACAGATGGCCTCACCTGTCACCCCCAGGCCTGCGCTTATGGAGGACGGAGGTCGTTCTGCGACCTCCGGCGCCTGAGTCGCCTGTGGTACCTGGCCCGTTCCCGGGCCTGGCGGGCCGGGAGAGTCCTAAACCTCTCCCGGTCCCGCTCCGCCGTCTCCTTCGCGAGCATAACTTGCTCGCAGAAGGAGACGGCAGAGTTCCACGCACTCTCGCTCCGCTCGATAGCCGCAATCAGGCTATCGAGCGAGAGAACTCCCACTCCGAGCCCATGTACACCTGCATCTAAGAAAGAAAGAAACCTGCATCTAAGAAAGAAAGAAAGAAAGAAAGAAAGAAAGCTTTATTTTGGGCGGTCAGAGTCGCTGCCCTTACCGGTGCGCCGTACAGTGCCATTAGGCAAAGCCAGTCTTGGACGACTGCTTTGTAGTAAGCTGTCGAAAGTGCTCGTCGAAGACCCATCTTCTGTCGAGGATCAGGCCCAGATGAAGTATCTGGGCCTGATCCTCGACGAACCGGTACGAGGACCGAGTTGACGACGATTGAGGCGCCAGGGGGAGGACCACGACGGAGCCCATGAAATAAGAGGGCCTCGGACTTATCCAGGGCCACGCCCCAATGCGCTCGACCACCAGAGAGACTCCCCTGGTGGCCAGGCGTGCTGCGTCTTGTTAGTTCACCCCCGGGCTGTGACCAATGTATCATCGGCGTAACAAATTACAGCTAGCCCGGGGGGAAAGTTATGCCTGAAATAACCAATAAATAAAAATGTATAAAAACAGGCCAAAAACCTCCTTTCTAAGGAGAGGCCTAAGATCGCTTAAATTTCAAAAGATTTCAAAAGTTAACATAAGTCACAGAATACTGTTGTTAGCCTTTTTGTCGTCGCTTTTTACCGAGTAACTTAACGAACCCCGAACCCTCATTTTGAATTCTGCTAAAAAAAAGTGTTGGATAATTTTTGTTAGGTATCTGATTCATGTAATACCGTTATTATGTAAAAAATAAATAGTAAGGATGTTATAACTATACCTATTTATTTCTTAGTTACATAATAATTATACTGAATTATTTGATTACCTACATTTTAAACTAGAAACTGTAATAATAATGACATAACTTACAACATTTTGTTGGTTATAAAATATATGTCAAGGTATTTAATACCTACTGTTTAGTATCAACGATATGGGGGTGAAATGGTGGTTCTTCTGTGTATTATATCAGGTATTTATAATTTATATTTTTTTTCTATTGTTGTGTTGTGTTGGTATAGTGGTTTATGACCTTGACTGCTAAGCTGGAGGTTGTAGGTTCGATTCCGACCCAGGACAAATATTTGTGATGAGCACGATCGTTTGTTCTTTAGATCAACAGGCCCGTCTTTGAATCTGGCAAACAAATAATCTGAATGAAGTGAATTTTCAAATGAATACAAATACGCTAGTTTTTATCTAGAGGAAATTACAAAATGCTAACTACAACTCATTTTAATAGTAAAGTAAATGTGCCTTCAGTCGGCAAATCTTTCACATCATCACATCAACAGCCTTTAACAGTCCACTGCTGGACATAAGCCTCTCCTTAGAAAGGAGGTTTTGGCCTACTATACCACGCTGGCCTGACGGATTGGTATAGGGTTTGTGTCAAGTTTTCCTTCTCTCGACAGTGCTTTTGTTCTGCGTAGTTTTTTCCCTTAGTCGGCTCTTGAGACACCCACGAGATGAATGGCTTTTATTATTACCACTATATTTAAAACAATTGCAGTGTTGAATCACATTTAAAATACCGATTAATTACTACTATTCTTAGGACTGGAAATAAATACCATTACGAACTATCGAGTTGATCAAAATTTATTATTTATTTATTTCATTTTAAGAAGGCTTACAGACTAATAACAAACTTTGCTTAAGTAAAATTATCAATAAAAAGGGTGTAACAAGCCTCCACATATGTTAAAATTGAATCAAACTATTTCTGCAAATTTAAACAGAGCTAAAAAAATTACAATAAATTGGAAATAATCCTTTGCCCGTTTCTGCCATTTTTTATTGATGCGGCTTCTTGTGATCATAGAGTGGTGTTATATAGCCTTTATCGATAAATGAGCTGTCCAACACTAAAATACATTTTCAATTCAGACCAGTAGTTCCGTAGATTAGCGCATTCAACCAAACAAACAAACTCTTTAGTTGTTTAATATTACTTCTTTGTTTCTCTTCGATGGATGGTTGTGAAGTATTTAGTCCCTAGTGTTCCAAAATTATGATATTATACACACTATTTCATTACTAACTGTTACCGAAACAAATAATTCAAGTAAGAGTATTTATGTTTTAGGGACGATTGAATAAATAGTTTTTCCATTTTAGTCTAGTATGTAGCCGCTTTTCTTCTCAGGCGGACTACTCACCGGCTGACCCAGTGGAGAGATCTATGAGATTACCTCAGGGCGCCTTCTAAGAGAAAAGAAGTGTGTGCGTGTGGGAAACCTACGGGACTCTTTAGAGGAAAACAACTTACACCTCAGTCATACATACATGTATATTTCAACACAAAATTAAATTTACAATAAAAAAAAATCAGAGGGTATAAAAAAAAACCGCAGCGGAGCGCGTCAGAGCCGAGCTGATGGTGCTCGGTGCCTCCTCGTCGTCCCTCCAGGAGGTTACTTCCTCTTCCGCCCGAGTCGGCTATTTATATTGGATATGGATAAAAGCTTTAACAATTTGTAATCATAAGTCCAAGTACGTAACTCCCGGGTACGGCCGTCCGCTTGCGTCGTGAGCCGCGCAATCACCAGCCTTGCCAGAGGGTACCAAGAAACTTGAGTCTGTACCAGAAGGCCACAAAAGAGCAAGCACGCCGTCTAAGACTGACTGTCTTGACCCCGAAATCTGGGACCCTACGAATGGATTAGCACTCATATAATTAAACAGGTTCCAGAAACAAATAGGTTTAAGTAGAATTAAGAACATACTCACCACTTTAGTGTGGGTACTTTTGAACAGATAATATATTAAGAAAATCAAATCACACAGCAATCAAAACACTATATAAGATCGGAAGGCACGAGATAGCAGTGTCTCCCGTAACAGAAAGCCGGACTTATATATCTTCGGTTAACGAAGCTTCCAGAAAATAACCCCTCTTCAACATTTTACTTTGACATTTAATATCAGTGAACACAGAAGATCAAAACTGTAGTTATAAACTACCTTAGATAAATTAAAAACAATGCAACGCGGCTAATAGATGTAGCTTTTAACAAGACCAACAAATGTACAAAAAAATAACTGTTACACCACCCCCTCCCTCAAAGTATTCCCTGCGTAGTGTGCGCAGGGAATATCCTCAACAGGGCCAAAATCCATATAAGTGGTTTTACGAACCCCGTGGTTTAGGAAAACATTCTATACTATGACTCGCGACTACAAAGCCTGTGGCTATCCATATAGGACACCACATGACATAACCTGAAGCCATCCATATGGGACCCAAACACGACAGTAGGCCGGAAGCAATCCTCATAGGACACAAATAAGAAAAATTTTGACGTAGTCCGAGACCACAATTGAAAGAACATTTCCCATGTAGGAAATGTAGTGAATGGACCCCTCAGGTCACAAAGGGGTGTCCTGAGAAGGTCTAGTCAGTTATAACTACACCGGCTAACCTATCTAGAAGGTATCTAGCCCCAACTCTAATAAGACAATTTATAATACAAAACGGAGTCACCTGAAGAAAAAACCTGTTCCAGTTCAAAGACCTTAAGCCCGCTGACAGACCATGTCAGAGGCGGAAAAGGCAGGAACAGCGGCGATGGCCTTAAAGCGGCCACGCCGGATAAGCCGCAAAGCAGTACGCATCTCACTTCGCAATCCGACAACCGCATCCTCAGGATTCGCTGAAATCCCCATGGAAGACAGTTCATTAATAAGTTCATCAATTTTAAGGTAGTTAATGCACTTACATAAATGTGCCATGGTGGTTTACAATTTAAATTCGATTATACAAAAATAATCCTAACAAGTTAACAAACCAGTAATGCAGACTTAATGTCTTTTACAGTTCAAAAAAATAAAAAATAATGATATTGAGTAGACTCCTTCACTATCAACAGAGTGTGAGAAGTTTAAAGTAAATTAATATTTAAAAAATATTATAACAAAATATTAAAACATCAAGTAATATCTCAAAGTAAAAAAATATTGCTACTGAGTATATTTCTTCACCATTAAGTGTGAGAAAGCTAAAGCAAACTAATATTTTTAACAAATATTAAAATAAAATATTAAAATATTAAGTAATATTTCAAAGTAGAAACTGAGTATACTTCTTCACTATTAAGTGTGAGAAGGTTAAAGCACACTAATATTTTTAACAAATATCACAATAAAATATTAAAACATTATGTAATTCTCAAAACTTGAGAAGCAAATTCAACTAAAGACAAAGATATTCTTGTTTCACAATTCAAGACACAAGTTATACTATCTCTAGAACATTAACACAGTAATCCAATGAAATGACAAAGTTTTTTATTATAAAAGTTAATTCGACAAAAAAAATTTAAGACAAGTTATATTATCTTTAGAATATTGACATAGTAATCCAATGAATTGACAAAGTTTAATTATCATAAAAGTTATTTCGACATAAATTTTAAGTAGGGTATGTATATCACAAAACTATTTTATTCTAATTTTAAGCCAAGAGGTTATATAAAAAATGGAGGGTACATAAAACTTTATAAGTTAAGTTAAGTTTCAAGTAAATTGCACCAGTAGTACTGGGAAAAAAAACACACTGAATATACACGTATGCACAACTTCACGCTACGGACCTCAAAGGTACGAACAGAAGTAGCTAACTCAAAAAAAAAAAGAAAAAAAAAATTTAGGCCAGAAAATGTTTCAAAACTTACCCGAAATATGTGCAGTAGGAATTTTGAGTTAAATTTGGAATTTAGATGTCTCACTGATTTTCCTTGCCTCAGGGATGATGGTACGATAGGCTGAAAATACAATGAGAGTAAAATTATTACATGCGTACTGCACCCGCACAACCAATTAACGTCCTGGGGAGTATCGGACGGAGGGAAGTGTCTCCTCCAAAGTGAATACCCTCAGGCACCCTCACACAGCACACACACAGAGGTTTGGATCACTGGCCAAACGTTGGTCGCCAATTTGTAGCCGCTTTTCTTCTCAGGCGGACTACTCACCGGCTGACCCAGTGGAGAGATCTATGAGATTACCTCAGGGCGCCTTCTAAGAGAAAAGAAGTGTGTGCGTGTGGGAAACCTACGGGACTCTTTAGAGGAAAACAACTTACACCTCAGTCATACATACATGTATATTTCAACACAAAATTAAATTTACAATAAAAAAAAATCAGAGGGTATAAAAAAAACCGCAGCGGAGCGCGTCAGAGCCGAGCTGATGGTGCTCGGTGCCTCCTCGTCGTCCCTCCAGGAGGTTACTTCCTCTTCCGCCCGAGTCGGCTATTTATATTGGATATGGATAAAAGCTTTAACAATTTGTAATCATAAGTCCAAGTACGTAACTCCCGGGTACGGCCGTCCGCTTGCGTCGTGAGCCGCGCAATCACCAGCCTTGCCAGAGGGTACCAAGAAACTTGAGTCTGTACCAGAAGGCCACAAAAGAGCAAGCACGCCGTCTAAGACTGACTGTCTTGACCCCGAAATCTGGGACCCTACGAATGGATTAGCACTCATATAATTAAACAGGTTCCAGAAACAAATAGGTTTAAGTAGAATTAAGAACATACTCACCACTTTAGTGTGGGTACTTTTGAACAGATAATATATTAAGAAAATCAAATCACACAGCAATCAAAACACTATATAAGATCGGAAGGCACGAGATAGCAGTGTCTCCCGTAACAGAAAGCCGGACTTATATATCTTCGGTTAACGAAGCTTCCAGAAAATAACCCCTCTTCAACATTTTACTTTGACATTTAATATCAGTGAACACAGAAGATCAAAACTGTAGTTATAAACTACCTTAGATAAATTAAAAACAATGCAACGCGGCTAATAGATGTAGCTTTTAACAAGACCAACAAATGTACAAAAAAATAACTGTTACAAGTAATGTTACAGTTCGTAGTGTGTGTAATAATCAAAGAATCAACAGTTACTTGTGAAGTGATGTAATCCTACGGGAGTTGTCTTTAAAAACAAATACATGTAACTAGAACTGACTGTTGCTGAATATTCCGAGCCTGGAGTTCAAATATAAAACTACACAAATACACAAAAGTACCAGCAGATCCGACAGACGTTAATCTGCCCGTCGGCGGGGTTTCTTATTTATTCCAATTTGCCAGTTGTATATTCAGTATAATGTGTTTTTAATACGCTCGTGCCTTCAGGGGTTTTGGACTGAGTGTGTAGGCTTAAGTTAAGCTTAAATAGAATTCCTTTTGTACTAACCTCACTTAATTTTTTATTTCAGACAATCATCACTACATCTTCTGGTACTTTTAAATTACCATTCGCAGATGTAGAAGCACTACCACTATCAAAGACTGCATCATCAATTCCAACAGAAAATGGATTACCGCAGCTATCATCACCAATTAATCCGAAATTAAGAAAAGCTTTATTGGAATATTTTAAACTAAAATATTTTGAAACGAACCAGCAATCGTCTAATATGGATGAATGTTCATCACCAGCAGTTGTTTCATCATTTTCAAGAGTTCTACCTGTTTCGACGATTGAAACTCAGACGGTAGATGATTTAGTGAACATTAAACAACAAAATAGTGTTTTGCTACCAACATCGCCATACACATCTGATGCCCTAATTAAGCCAAATACGTATACCGAAACTTTAACCCCATTAAATAATAAAGTAAAACTTACTTCAGTACCAACAGCTCAAAGTATCTATGAAAGGGTAATACCAAACGAGATCCCATTACCTAGTATAACGTCTTTACCAATAATTTCTTTAGAATCATTAAAAAGAAACATCGAAACTTTGAATCCATCATCTAACAATAAAATATATTTCGGTGGTTATTCCACCAACAATCCACTTTATAATGTACCTTATCCTTTGCATTACAATCGACAGTCATTACCAGATGTCATAACTCCTACTGATTTGATTCTTTCAAATTTGAATCCAATAAATAACGTACAAAATTTAAGATCGATTTCTTCTAATACGTTAAAAATAATAAATAGCTACCCAAATGCATATCTCCCTACTTCCTCACAAGGGTTTTACGCTCTAAATTTAGCACCACAAATTTCAGCTCTGAATAATGAAAACTTAAATTCATTCATCCAACACAGTGTGCCAGAAGTGCCTCCCTTGGTGTCAACCTCCCCAAACAGATTCTTAGAAAGACAACAGTATTATTATTTGAATCAACAAAAACGTGACAGAAAAATAGATCCATTGTACGAACGAACATTAGTACCCCTTCCGTATCTTAGAAACTGTGATATTTCTTATTTATCTGGTTTCAATTTAGGAAATCCTTATTACCCAACGATTCCCTCATATGCAATGTTACGGACATTGCCTGAACCAATTATACCAGAAGCAAATCAGTATGGTTTCAAAATTAAAGACTTAAAACATGAAACGTTGCCTTTATCGGTCAATGAATTAAATGCAAATATTAATAATATGAATTATGATTTTTCTGATAACACTCAGCCAACCATCGATATAGTAATAGATACGACTATTCATTGTAATATTCCAGAAAATATTGAGGATTATATTACAGGTATAATATCAGACCTAGATCTACCTGAAATTTCTAAGGAAATACCGAGTTCTATATCCATTCAAGTAACACCTCATGAAAATAATGTTGACATTTCTTCCTTGGCCTTACCTATAGATTTATCATTCTTAAATGGTAATGAAAATAAAGAACCTCCTGTTTTATACCAAAATAGTATATCTGACGTATGTAGTCTCACAACAATAAATTATCCCCCTAAATTACCACAATCTGCATTTCCTGCAACTTACATAAACACTTCGCCTACTTATGGTCTTTCTCAAATATCTGCCAATGCCGTATCTTCACTTAACAATGTAGTATCTTCATTAACACAAACTATTTTAAACTCTTTTATTTCTTATTTAACATCTGCTCAATCACAAGTAACAAAAACAGTTTGTCCTATTCCTTACACTACATCATCATTTGATTTTTATAAAACTAACTTAATGAAGCCTTGTGTACCGCAGTATCTATACACTTCTACATTTTCCCCCTCAAATTCATATTCTACAACCACATTCTCACCTTTAGAAAAACAATTTTATAATGAAATACTATCAACAACTACTAATACGTATTCAAATGACTTAACTGCAACAACATCAGTTACATCTTCACCACCACTTAAAGTCACTTTACTACCTCCAACGTCGTTTTTGGATTATTTACCATCACAGCCTTGTCCATCTACATTACCTTTGCCAACTTTACCTTCTTATTTAGACATATCATCACCTTTTACACCCAAACCTCAAGTTTTTAATGTGAAACCTTTAGATAGAAGAGCTAAAACTGTTGAGAGATTATTAGACATGGTATTTCTGGCAGAATTATTGCACGGAGAGGGATACATTGATTGGGATGCGTTAGATACCGTGTTAGCAATATTGTATGCAAGTTAATTATGTTTTTTTGTACGATTTGTTTAGTGTTATTATTATATTATTTGGACAAAGTTTAAAAGGTCTTTTCTTTTTATCTCTTTTTTAAATCTCATTTTTTAACCTTCGTATTTACATAAACATAAAGAAAGAGAGAAAATGAGTTACGAACTGGATTACCGCAGCTATTTTTCATCTTCATAGGTGCAAATAAAACTCTTTTAACCAAAACAATAAATATATTAAAAATAAATTACCTGAATTAAATAAATTAATTAATGATTAAATAAATTAACTAGTTCAATCTCGTATTATATTTGTTGAAAGTTAAATCATGCATTGATTTATTTATACTCTTCTTCATCATCTACTGACTTGGCTAGGATATAAGTGGTTCCACCATTTTGATAAATATTACCTGTTAGATTATCCTCCCATTGACCAGCAGTTGAAGTATCTTCTTCAGGAATATATACTGTTCCATACGCGACGACTTTTGATTTAGCGTATACAGTTTCTATATCTTTAGTTTGTGGTTGAATCCCGTTTTTCTTAGCTCCATTAAAATTAGCAGTCTTTGCACTGAATGATTTATCACCAACATATCGACCTACTTTATCGTCAAACGCTTGAGTGGTTTGAATTTCACTTTTGTCTATTTTTCTAGTTTCAAAATCCGGTGATTCTAAAAATGGTGGGCTCTGAAATCTTATTTCTTCTTCAAATTGTTTTTCAAAGTTTTGTTTGTAAGCATTTCTTATGCTCTCTTTTTCAACCTCCTCATATGTACGTTTAAATATTTCGAAATCATTGGGGGCACTTTCTGAGACATCGTAACTAGATTTTTGATGTTTTTGGTTGAGTTTTGGCGTAGTTGTCTCAACTTTATCTGTTACATAGTAGTACTTGTGTTCATTTAAGTTTTTTAAAATTATTTCCTTGTTATTAGCTGTGTAAGCGGCACTATCCGTGAACAGTGGATAATAATCATCTATATATCCTTCATAGTATTCAGGATGATATTTGTCTTCAAATTCATTTATGCTGTAGCCATCTTGAAATATTTCATTGCTAGTATATTTCATGTTTCTATCGCTTGTTTCAAACGACTTGAAACTTTCAACTATTGGATTAGAATATAAATCTGTACTTACGAAATCTTTATCAAATTTGTTTGAGTTAACGCTTTTTGTATTCACTGTTGAATTTCTATTTTGAGCGTTCTTCCTTTTTTTATTCTTTTTATGTTTTCTTCTCCTTTTCGGTGTACTTTCAGGAACAATGATTGGTTGACTTAATAAAGACTGATAAAGATTTTCATAATGAGCAAACCAATTACTCATTAATGGATTATTTAATTGGTTTAAGTTTGTTAAAAAATGGTTGGTTATTTCTTGAGGTGAATTTGGATATGATTTAAGTACATCGTTTACTTCATGCTTAGAATTTCTTGTCTTTCTATTTTCATTGTCCCTTCCATCTTGAGTTATATCCAGATCAATGCTTTCCTTGTACTTTGATGTAACATCATTAAACTGATTTTCTAACTCATCATTTTTCATATTATTTGTTTTAGGTTTCTTTTTACGTCGTCGTAACTTTGCACTTTTTTCATTGTTTTTGTCAACAGGATTTTCTGTCGTTTGTTCTTTTCTTTTTCGACTTCTATTTTTCGTTGTCTTGTTTTTACTTTCTCCATTTTCTATAACGCTTATATGTTTAGGATTTTGTATATTTCTGTTTCGTTTACTTTTCTTTTGAGTTTTGTTTATGTCTTTGACAGTATGCTTTTGGGAGTCCTCAATCGCATCATTCTGACTTCTTTTTGACTTTATTTTTTTATTATTGGCTCGATTCAGACGCTCTCTGCTTTTAGAATCTCTCGAAATTTTGTCATTAATATCATTAGTTCTATCTTTCCAATCTTCAGTAGGTAGTAAAACATTATTGTTTACGAAATTTCTTGGCGTCTGATTATTTAGAAAATTATATGAATACATATCATAGTTCTGCGTGTTAGGGTTTAAAATCATTTGTGCTGACGAACCAGTTAGAAGTTTATTCAATAATGCTTGTTTTATCGAAGAAGGTGATATGTTCAATTGTTGCAATTGATTCTGAGTTGTAACACTTGGAGTGTAGGGTTGTAAATTGATTGGTTGGTTAGTAGGTGGATTTATAAATCCATTTTGTTGGTAAATCGGATATGTTTGAACAGGAATAACGTTGTTTGCTGATACCTGGAACAAAATACAATCATGAAGACTATATTGAATTTGATTATTTGATTGCGCGGTTGGCGTAGTGTTAAGGCGGTTGCTACTGTACTGCACTGAGTGTTGTGGGTTCAATCCCCACATGGAACAACACTTTGTGTGATCCCCAAAATGTTGTTCTGAATCTGGGTGTCCTTTGTGTAGCGCTTTAAGCGGTTGCCACGCTGCTTACTACTACTCTGAGTGTTGTGGGGCCGATGCCCACATGGGACGACACTTTATGTGATCCACAAATTGTTGTTCTAAGTATAGGTGTTCTTTGTGTCCGTTTATTGTATCGCTAATGCCATTGTCCTTAAAAAGACAATTACAAAGACAATTAAAAAAATAAATTACAAAGACGTTCTATCAGTTTTTTTATGTGAGAGGGGAGCAAACGACCAGGCGGGTCACCTGATGGAAATTAAGAATACGGAGTATCACCACCCCTATTCATCCCGTGGGTGTCGTAAGAGCCGACTAAGGGAGCAAACTACGCAGGCCAACAGCACTGTAAAGAGAAGGAACCCTAAACTAACTAATTTCTTAATGTAATTAAATAACTTACCACCATAAAAGCCGCAAAACACAACCATATAATTAAAAACATTTTCTTTTAGAATCATTATTTACAAAAAAAAACAAATAATATTTTATTTTAATTTAAACATACTTTTTCTACCAAAATATTTTAAATCACTACGTGACTATACGAAAATATTGTTTATATATATGCATTTTATTAATCGATTACTTAAAACGATTGCGGTAGTCATAGATATCGATTGAGCACGATTTTGTTTCTTATCGATAAGAAAAATCGATTGACGAAATTTAATACAGATTGTACCATCGTAACTATAGAGAGTTACTGTAAAAACACAAAAATTGTCTGCCATGTTGACACGCCGTTGCGGATATTGACTGTTTTAAAAAAGTTATCCCTTTTAAATGGTAGCCACTTTTCACTAGCCGGGCTGTATACTGGTTTGCCACCGATGTGGTGTAATGAGCAGTATGAAGAAGACTTTGTCTGACAACCAGACCAAAAGTGCTGCCAATTTTGAAAGATATACGTTTTATCTAATACCTTTAAACGAGCAATTCATGTATATATACGAGTACATATGTAATCTGAATCTCGGAAACGGCTGGAACGATTTTCATGCAATTTAGTATGAAGAGGGTTTTGGGGGCGATTAATCGATCTAGTTAGGTTTCATTTTTAGGTTTTGGCCTACTATACCACGATGGCAAAACGGGCCAATGATCTACTTCTATATTGATTTAAACCATAATAATATACAGATATCAAATCACAAAATCATTACTATACCCATAGGTGCTATTGCATGCAGTTGGTAGAGAGAGGAAGAAGATTGTTTTGGTCTTGCATTTCTCTCTGCTCTTGTCTTGGTTATTTTTAATTTCCCTCTTCAGTAATAAGAGGAGAGAGAGATGCAAGACCAAAACAATATTCTTTATCTATAAGCTCCCACTTACAGAGGAATATACAGCTCGTTCCCTCTTTTATCTTTTCTCTATATTCTATACCGCATTTTAAATGCATACCAATGTCATTCAAATTATCCATACCTCCAAGCTCATATTATAAATCTGAAAGTGAGTTGGTTTGTTACGCTTTCACTCTTAAAACGATTTTTGACGAAAAATGGCGTGAGGGGTCTATGGACCCCCGGTCGGTACAAAGTAGTAGTTAGCTTTTTGGTAGATGTTTGATATACAGTCATTAACATTTATATTCTTAAATATCAAGTTAATAGAGTCAAATTGAAAAAATTATGATGAAATATATTTATCTATATAAATAAATAAAATTGGAGTGTCTGTTTGTAATATTAAAATAACCGCTTTTTCTAAATGCATATGTATGTTTACACGGTACATATGCCAAAATAACATTTTTTACAATTTTTGTCTGTCTGTCTGTTCCGGGTAATCTCTGGAACGGCTGGACCGATTTCGACGAGACTTACACTGGCAGATAGCTAATGGCATAAGGAGTAATTTAGGCTACTTTTTTAGACTAACTTCGCCCCGCGGCGTTGCCCGCGGTTATAACAACAAACGCCGGTAACACCGCGGGTCTCAGCTAGTCATATATAAAATAAATAATGATAAATTAAACATTGAATGATATAAGATAGTTATGTTAATAACAAATAATCATACACGGCTGTAACTATAGCAAGAGGTGTCGGAAAACAGTCTTGTTACACATTTTTCGGTCTCGCTCCCATCCGCTCAGAGAGTATAACGCGTGATAAGGAACATCATCCCAAAATTCTATCACTAAAGAAGAAAGAAGACACTAAAGAAAAAGCTATGGAAAGCCACATTAACAGCGAGTAACATAGGCTACTTTATACCGCGATAACTGACTTACATTCAGACGGAGCCGCGGGCACAAACCAGTTAACAATATAAAAGGGGCTTTCCTGGTAATATGATAATTTGATAAAGCATTGTGAAATTTGAAGGTAAGTCACTGGAATAACGGTTATTTTACCTGTCATTTTGAGTAATGGTTTAGTTTAACATGACCTTGTCACCGTTAATGGTTTTTGTTTTTAGTAAAGGCTGCCCCTTTCCACTAACGTTGTATAAAATTAGTGTATAAAAACATCATACACACATAAGCGGTCGCCACGCCGCGTCCTATTGCGCCGAGTGTTGTGGGTTCAAACCCGACATGGGACAACACTTTGTGTGATCCACAAATTGTTGTTCTGAGTCTGGATGTACTTTGTGTTCGTTTCATGTAAGTAAGATATATTCCTAATGCGGGAGTTGTCTTTTAAAAAGAAAAAAAAACAAATAATGATAGCAAAAGGCTGAACCTTGAAGCAAATTGTAATTGACAAAATGTGAGTTTAAATAAGTGACTATAAATATACAAAAATACTGTATACAGTCCTTCATCCCTTATTTTACCCCCTTTTTTTTAGTAGGTGCTTACATCGTCGACGGGGAGAGTGGGGACCTCTGGTGGCAGATTGATTGCTGCAGTAGGGGATGGAATGGCCGCCATGCTGCGTTTGAGGGGGGAAGTGTTCGCCCCTGGGATAGGGCCTGTTAAGGCATGGTGCCAATTCGAGGAGGACCTGAAATAACATGGTCCGGGTCCTCACCAGATTAGGACACCTTAGGCCGGCCGTCGGGGTGGTTTTTAGTGGAATCACCGCATACTCCTGACTCCTGAGTCCCCGAGGAGTAGTTTAGGCTCTGCGTTCATAAATCAGCGAATCAGTCAGGGCCAGTAATTTCATATGTATGGAAGTAAGTAATTATAATATGGTAACATTATTGGTATGGTTTTTCTCTCATATTATATACATTATTAGTATCTCTCTTGCCAAGCTATATAGGCAGGCATATCAATAGGGTATTGCGTGGCGTTCACTTGGACGGCGCAGCGTTACATTTTTCCTGCTAAAATCGGCGAGGATCTCTCGGTACCTTACCATCATATTCCCATAAAGTCTCTCTCTCATAAAGTCTTTCTCCGGTCGCAACCTTCCGCGAAGACGTTATTTCACAGAACGAAGCGGCTTAGAGGGCCCGGGAGGAAGATCTCCACTTGGACCTAATATGCCGTCGGTGAATCGGTCTGACTCGGACACAGTAAAAAAAACCCAGAGTCGGTTATCCATCTTGTGATTGGTGTAGCCAGGGATATGAACTGGCCGTGATGATGATAAAACTATATATATATTACTACTAACTGGTGTATGTTGGATTCATATAAAAGAATAAAACAATTTCTGACTTTTACGATCGCATGTGGTGATTATTGACATTTCCTAGTGAATCTTAATATTTAATAAAATTAGACATAGGAATAACTGCAAAAACTTTCATCATGAGATACGGGATTGGTAGTGACTATGTGGTTCAACTTGATCCTGATAGATGGCATTGTTAATTTTTTTTTTTGTATTGGCAGTTACATTCGTTTGAAAATTTGAATAAAATAACTTACAATTTTTTTATGTTTTATTATATAACTTATTTTAATAAAAAATAACACTAAACCAATAACTTTTCAAGCTCAACAACAACACTAGTGATCAACTTAATTAGACTACTCAAAAGACCACTCCCATCGGTCATGCCACTAAGCAAGTTGAGGACTAAATTCAGGACTTGGGACACGAGACCTAGCAGCAAACCAGGGGCTGCCAAAACATTGGATCGGAACAGAGAAATTAAAACACTTATGTACAAGAACAGCACTGAAGCTAGATCAGTTAGGGTAGCATACAAAAGGGGTAAGGTACAGCCGAAGTATGGCAGCAGAGCTGGTGTCAGGTTCTGGACGATGTTAGATAAGTTGTTCAAATTGTTGATCAGGTTTATGAGGAAGGGTATCATTAGGCAGGCTAGCTGGTTGGCAATTGGAAGAACGGTTGATATTTCATCAAAGGCTAGACGCAGCGCGCTGACTGAGTAAGCTGGAATCATTGCTTCGGTTTGGTGGACCTGAAAGAAGAGGATTGATTAAGGGGTGATGGCATATTTTGGTAACACTGTAGCACTGTGTCCGTGTGGTGACGGATTAAGAGTCCGTGTGGTGACGGATTAAGAATACGGAGTGTCACCACCCCTATTCATTCCGTGGGCGTCGAAAGAGGCGACTAAGGGAGCTAGCGTAAGACGGCAAAGAGAAGGAAAACTTGATACAAACCCTGCACCAACCCGTCTGGCCAACGTGGTATAGTAGGCCAAAACCTCCATTCCAAGGAGAGGCCTATGTCCAGCAATGGACTATTAAAGGCTGTTGATGCCTGCTATGTCCAGAGGCCTATGTCCATCAGTGGACTATTAAAGGCTGTTGGCCACGGCACATGCTACATCAAATCATCAATGATGTGATGTAGCATGTGCCGTGGTATCTTCTGAAATGTCGGTCAATAATACGGGGCAGATACGCCGGTTCAGTCAGAGCGCTTAACCAGTTACAAAGATTTTTAGCTTTTATTAGGTAATGTTTTTTTTTTATGGAATAGGGGGCAAACGAGCAGACGAGTCACATGATGGAAAGCGATTAGCGCCGCCCATGAACGCCTGCAACTCAGGAGTCACAAGCGCGTTGCCAGCCTTTGTGGAAAGTACGATCTTTTCTTGAAGGTTAGAAGGTCGTATCGGTCCGGAAATACCGCTGCGCGTATGGTACTTTTGACCGCTGCGCTGGTTAGAACAGTGACCGTCAGATCCCCTTTATTATTTGTGAATCATTTGGGTTTGTAATAGGAAATTATAAAAAATATTTACCTGGAATACAACGCAGAAAGCTACCACAATAGAAATGAGATGCATGATTTAAATTATTAGATAAAATGAGTTAAAACTAACAATAAGTTATGAATTATTTTCAATTAAATATTGTATTTATATTCACCTGTTATCACCATGTGCAATCCGCTTCACGTAGGTAGTGTTAAGAAATGTTATCTTTAGTTTTTATATGATAATGATTTTAAAATAACAGTTTTCACTAAAAGTAAATTTGTTTGTATCTGTCTATCTCTTTGTTTTGGCTAATCCCCAAACGGCTGGACCAACTTTAATCTGCCACACATAACTAACGTAATAAGGAGTAACTTAGAATCCTTTTTCAAGGAAAATAAGTAGGGTTCTTTGCATCAAAAACTATCTAAGGTCAGTCTTATAATCCTATTCTGGCTCCATAAAAACATATTTTGAAATCTTTTATCACAGGGATATCTTAGATGACGTTAAAGAGTTCTTTAAGACTAATTATTTTTTTCACGACTGTTTCTTTATCATCTATAAACTATCTGCGTCTTTTAAAATGAATAATATCATAATCCCTGCCTCTCCGAGCAAGGGGCCATCACGCTTAGGAGAACCCAGCTTCTTTGAATCAGTGTCGTCTTTGCCCAATTTCCAATCCACCAGTACTGTGGTATCCCTTACTCTATCATCCTCGCCCTATAAGTTTTAATTACGATACACTACCTCATTATTTTATCCGTCCGTTTAAGGTAATCTGCACTGCAATGGAAAAGACTACACGGATGGGCGTAGTGGTTTAAGCGGTCGCCACGCCGCTTACTACTACTAGTGTTTTGGGTTCGATCCCCACATGGGACGGCACTTTGTGTTATCCACAAATTGTTGTTCTGAGTCTGGGTGTTCTTTGTGTCCGTTTTATGTATGTTTGTAAAGTCCCCCGCGACACAGGATATATTCCTAATGCGGGAGTTGCTGAAAAAAAAGGGATACAGAAAGACACCATTGCGCCCCAGCCCTCCTCAGCTGCCAGCATGGCATTGTTTCCTTAGTCCGCTCTTACGACACCTACAGAATGAATAAGAGTGGTGACACTCTGTATTCTTAATCCGTAACCGACTGCCATATATTTAGACATATATTTCTAAATAAGCTATTGCGCGTGATTATGTATTCTTTTATGTTTCTAACTTGAAAATTACAAACTTCCATACAACCGCTCATCCCATACTTTACCCCCTTAAGGGCAAAAATTTCCGATAATCCCTTCTTAGTAGGTGCATACAGTATTAAGGACATCAGCTGCCAAAATTTCATATTTGTAGCCCTAGCAGTTAAGGCTCTGGTTGATAAATCAGTCAGCCACTTAGGTCTGGCAATTTTTTTTATATTATTTTGATACATACATGAAACTCAGCACACCCAGACTCAGAACAACAATTTCCGTGTCGTGTCGTGTGTGTCGTCCCATTTTGAACCCACAACACTCGGCGTAGTTGGAAGGGGCGTGGCGACCACTTTAATCGCTACGCCATCCGTGCTGTCATATAAAAATAACAATGTAAAAATGAACATTTTAATATATTTCTAAATACATACGTACTATAGATTAACTACACCCAGATATAAAACAATGCTTATCACAATACTTGTCCTAGGTAGGCATCGAACCCACGCCCTCTGCCTTGACAGTTAGAATCGCTAACCACTAGACCAACAGGTCAGTTGCATGCTAAACTAAGACAATGTATTTGTGTGAAATGCGTATGCGCACACGAATAAACACATCGAAACACTAGATAAAGAATTAACACATACATTCCTAGATCTGAAAATCAATAGATTTTCTACATTTACATATTTATCTATTGCGAAAAATTAATATCAAAAATATATGATAAAATAAATTAAGAAATTTTTAACTAATTTTAATACTACGATAACAGATTATGTTATCACAATTACTAGAATGTTAGAAATCTTTATTATGTAAGTTATATGTATATAAAACTGTTATTTATCGTTTTAAAAATATTGTAAATATAATTTTAAGTGTGTTAACATTTAGTTTTGATAAAATAAAATTATTATTTAGTCAAAATGTCACGAATCTCTTTGGCCGTTTTTTCATTGGCTTGCATTTTCTTTATAACAGTAAGTACTGTGATTTATTTTTAAAACTGCTGTGTTCCCACTTTTATTAGGTTCGTTGGGTAACATTTGAAAGGCTTTCAACTAGTATTTTTTATGGTTGGCCATATGTATGACGCCAAATTAATGTCTCTTGAGAATAAAAGAAAGGAAAATCTGTCCTTAAGTCCGTTCTGTTCTTGGAGACGCTTCTAGGATAATAAAAATAACTGGCTAAATTTATTTATTGTATTTGGGGTCAAACGAGAAGACGGGTCACCAGATAGTAAGGACTACCACCGCCCAAAGACACCTTTTTTTTATTTTTTTTATTGACGGGTTGGAAAATAATTTCGGATCTCCTACTGTTTGGGGACTCAGGGGCCAGGAGTAGGTATGTGGTGATTCCACTAAAGAACACCAAGACGGCCGGCTTCAGGTGTCCTACTCTGGGAGGCCCCAGACCAGGTTCCAGGTTGTTGTTGTTGTTGTTAAACATCAAAAACAATTTCTTACTTCTGTAATGCATTCTTCACTTAAACAGTTAAAACTTACAATAGTTTATCTAATAAAGTACTAGACATTACCTTATATATAAAATTCTCGTGTCACAATGTTCGTTACCGTACTCCTCCGAAACGGCTTGACCGATTCTCATGAAATTTTGTGTGCACATCGGGTAGGTCTGAGAATCGGCCAACATCTATTTTTCATACCCCTAAATGGTAAAGGGTGACCCATCCCTAAATTTTTTTTTAGACAAAGCAACGTTTGCCGGGTCAGCTAGTGTAAGCATATATCTGTTATAAAATAACTCGGAATTTGTACTATTTTTACAAACATTTCATAATTACGTACAGTCATATCTCGAATTTTATCTACTTGACTTTACCGAACGTGAGTGTAGACATGAAATGCTATCAATATACTAGTAAAAGTGGAAAAAAATCCATACAAAATGTATCAACTGTTTTCTGGTAATGCACCTGTAGCTCATCAACTGCAGGTGTCTATGGACGGCGGTAGTCACATCAGGTGACCCGTCTGCTCACTTGCCCACATATGCCATAAGAGGAGTTCTAGTTGCAAATTTGCACAATTAAGGCCTAAGGCCACTAATTTAAGGCCAAAGTGAGAGCTCTCCTCACACACAAAGAAGCCACATCATCATTGAATTAATACCTAATATATTTTACGAATTTTGTAAATGTATGTACATATGTATGTTTGTATATGTTTGTACGAATGTGTATATGTGTAGGTATACATATGTATGTTTGTAAAAAAGTTTTAATGATATTCATCACTTTTTCTACTCACATTTTTTATCGCGTATACTTTTGTGTGTGTATTTTTTGGTTAAGTCTTGTTATTGAGTTTAGTACACCTAATTACTCATCCCTACACCATCCCAAGATAAACTGGCAGAGAATCCCTACGGCATTAAGTACACCTTTGTACATTCTTTTATGTGCATAAAGTATTAAATAAATAAATAAATTACGTACACAATACACACATACGTATATAAAGTTAAATCAAAAGCAAAAAAATCAAAATCATTTATTATTTGCATAAAACAGGTATAAAGGTGGTAGAAGATACATCATGTAATACATGGGTACGCTGTAATATAACTAGTGATGTGCCGGATCGTTAACAAAGTATATCCGCGGATACGGATCCGAATACGGATATTTGGTGTCCAGATCCGCGGATACGGATACGGATACGGATCTTAAGTTTCTTACTCAATCGGAGCCCGTGAGCTTGATTGTTGTCGCCACTTGACGCTTTGCCGTTGATATTTAAATATTTCATTATTTTAATAAGCTAATACAAAGATGTTTGATTGATCTCATTATAAAGATATCTCTTTCAGTACCTACGACCTGCCTAGTTGATTTAGTGTAATACGATAAATGATTGCAATACAAAGGTGCCAAATATTTGTTTTAAGAAATAAAAAGTAATCTGAACAGAATTCAATAGTTTTTCATAGCTACCTAATAACCATTATTCAGGGTTATTTTAAATTTACTGAAAACCTCTGAAGTGCATATTAGTAACATTATAAACAACAACTTTTCTTCTGGACTAACACCGAAAACGAATGAAAAAAAATTGTTTCTCTCCATACAAACTAACAACATTTGATTGGTCATTTGAATGGAGGACCAATTTTTTTTCATTTTGACGTTGGCCAGAAAAAAAGTTGCTGTTTATAGTGTTACAAACACATACCTAAGAGTTTTACAGTGAATACAAAATCACCTATATAGAATTTCATCTATGTATTGAAAGATCCGCCAAAAAAGTCACGGATACGGATACGGTTACGGATACGGATATCCGGCACATCACTAAATATAACCTCTTAAAGGTGTGCAAATATTTAGAAATAGATATTTAAAAGATTATTATTTAGACGTTCAACATTAGATACAAATACAATTTGAAGAATATATTCATATCATAAATTTATTCAGAGAATTAATAGTAATAATTATTATAATAAAATTGCGACGCTAGAAAAAGCATAATAAACAATCTCCTTAAACGAATGCACTTCTTCATGTTCATATTATGTGTTACATCAAATATACGTCATTTGTTATAATAAAACAGATTTATGAGTAACAGATAACTGCACGTATTCTCAACCTTATTACGTTAGAATAAGACCCGCTGTAATTTTTTTGGTTTGCAAAAGTCTGTAATTTTTTGCTATAAACTCCTGCGTAAATTGCTCCCTTAGTTGACTCTTACGACACCACGGGATGAATAGAGGTGGTGACACTCCGTATTCTGAATCCGTCACCAAACAGACGGACAATGACATAACTCATTTTATTGTTAAATGTTCTCAATCTTTTTTCCAGACCCCAGTATCGGCCAACGCATGCGTCCAGCTTCCAGCAGTCTACCCTTTAGTCAATATCCTTCTCCCACTCCTGAACAATGTCTATAATCTTCTCCTGTCTCTTCTCTCTATTTTTGATACTCTTCCTTCCAACATCTCTTGTATGATTCCTGTGGATCTTGGAGCTTTGGAAACCTCATTGCTGAAACTCTACTCTCAGGCTCTTGCTATTGTCAATTTCTTGAGGTAAGAAATTTCTGTTTATTAAACCCCTCAATTCGTCTAACGAAACGAATTACTTGCACAAAGAATGGGTAAACATTGGTTGTGGGGTTCGAAACTGCAATCATTGAGCGCAAGTCACTTTTACCATTACGCCAACACCGCAGACTTGAAATGTAAATCAAATATTTATCGATAATTCAAATTTTTAGGGCCTTAATTTCAAATTTTGCTTAAAATTAAATATGTAATTATCAAAAAAACTTTGTTGGTAATGTTTAAACCCGCAAACTTTAAGTTACAAAAATAATAAAACAATTATGTACTCAACATGTCCCTCTAGCATAGCACTGATGTAGTAAACAATCAGTCTTGAAAATCGGTTCTCGATAAACTCAATGTGTGTAAATATATTTTATTATTTTTGTATATCTGCTTGTCAGTCTGTCTTTTAACGATTTAGGCGTGAAATTACACAGCAAACCGCTGAAATTATTTTGATTGAATTTTGGTATAGAGGTAGAATAACCCTTAAAGAAGAACCTGAACTACTTTCTGTCTTGAAACAAAAGACCATATCTTTGCCCTTGCCATTTTGTTGTGTTGCTTTAAGGCGGCGTAAAAGGGAGTGATGTTTTTTAAGAAAAATTCTTCATAGATGAAATCACACCCTAACACCTAATAAATACATTAATAAAGTACCAATTGTATTAGTAATTGTAGTATACTAGTAGTGTAAAACTAGCACTGATAAAAAGCAGTCACCTGCACACACAATTGCTTTTCTCATTTTTTTTTAATGATTATATCCCCAGATCGCTGCCAGAATATGCTGTCGGAGCCAACCCTAATACCCCATCAACCAGCATAACGAACATGCAAGGTCTTTTAACCACCCTCATAACATTCATCACGGAAATATCTGAAGAAGTACTGTTGGGTATCGGTGGACCACTCCTGCCAGGCCTGTTACAGCTAGTCGTAATGGTCGTTAAGGCTTTATTGGCCTTATTAATATAGGTTCTTGATATAGTTATTTTTGTTAAGAAAGTTTATTTAAATAAATAAGAAGTTTTCATTTGTATGTTTTCTTTCTTTCATCCCTTATTTCACCCCCTAAAAGGTAAAGTTTCTATAAATCCTTTGTTAGTGGGTGCTTAAATAATAAAAAATTACACATCCTTAACAGCCTTTACTAGTCCACTGCTGGACATGGGCCTCTCCTTAGAAAGGAGGTTTTTGCCTACTACACCACGCTGGCCAGACGGGTTGGTAAAGGGTTTGTTTCAAGTTTTCCTTCTCTCTGCAGTGGTATTGTCCTACGTAGTTTGCTTCCTTAGTCGCCTCTTACGACACCCTCGGGATGAATAGGGGTGGTGACACTCTGTATTCCTAATCCGTCACCACACGGACGATATGATAAATTTCAGCTGCCAAAATTTCAAGTCTGAAACCCCAGCGGTTTAGGCTCTGCCTTGATGAATCACTTAGTCAAGGCAAGTAATTTCATATTAATTAAAAATATTTCACCGAATAGCCATATAACTAAAGAACCTGAAAAAAACAGGGTCTACCTACCAGCAGGGGTCGCTAACTCCCCAATCGCCGCCTTTTACTCTGTATGTCAGTGAAAGGCGCGGTACCGTCCTACCCCAGGGTGACTACGGTCACTCCGGGATGTGCCTCAGACATGGGGTACGGCAGGGAGGACTCAAGAAGTCGCCGATGCGTTCCTGGAGCTCCTCCCAACGGCCGAGGTAGGCCGACGCAAGGTATAGTGGGTAGACCAGTTCTCCGCCCACACACGCCCTGCGTTTCTGCGTGCGAAAAGCAATCCCCGCTGGAAAAATAAAAAAAGGTTGTACCTACTAAAAATAAATCTGCATTAAGAAGTATTGTTGATGGTAATTAAACACGAGAAATTGAGAAGCTACCCTTAATTAAAAACTTCTATTTTAGTATCGTTGACGTCATCTGATAGTATTTTCGGCATAGAATGACGTCACATTCTACCGACAGATTTAATATCAAATTGAGTATTTTAACCGACTTCAAAACTAGAGAAGGTTATCAAACGACTGTATTTTTAGGGTTCCGTTCCGTTCGTAAAAAAGAAACCCTTTTAAGATCACTTGTCTGTCCGTCTGTCACCACCGATTTTCTCAGGAACGGGTAGACCTAGCAAGTTGAAATTTATACCAGATACTGATGGTCTATGGTCCCAATTAGGTGTATAAAAATCAAGGTCCTGAGTCAACGCGATAAAAAGATATCGGCAAATTTCGATACACACACAAATAAAAGAATTTACAGCACAAATAAAAGAATAATCCAAAAAAATAAAAAAGTTGAAAATTAAGATAAATTTTGGTACTTACAAATTTTTACGAAAGTCTACGTAAAATCTAGGTAGGTACGGAACCCTCGGCGCACGAGTTCGACTTGTACCTGACCGGTTTTTTTTGTATATTAGTTACGCCAATTATTAGTCAATTTGGGCTCGATTTTCAAATAATATTTATAAAATCGTAAGGGGATATACTTCTTAAGTGGTCCCATTATCACAAAGTTAGTATCTCATAATGGGGTTCCAGAGAAATTGAGGAAAACTCTCAAATTTTATAGCACCGTACTACGTAGGCCGCCCTTTGTACACTCGATATTTGATCGTTGTGTTCCTTTCTTGAAACTCTGTAATTTAGTGTGCAAATAAAGAGTTATCTATCTATCTATCTATCTATCTACGTGTTTTATATTTTTTCTCAAACCATGGAGGTATTCGCGTCTTATAGTCATTATCTGGTGTGGTGAGTTGACGATGGAACGAACTGACGATGTATTTTTTTTTATGGTATAAGGGGGCAAACGAGCAGGCACCCGCCTGATGGTAAGCAACTACCGCCGCCCATGGACACCTGCAACTCAAAAGCCACAAGTGCGTTGCCGCCCTTGGAGTCATTCTCGCTCGAGCTCTTCAGCGGTAGGGGGGATTTGGGCTCCGGTAACCTCACTCACCGGTTTTCTGTGAGGCCTTGGTATCACTCCGGTCGATCCGGCCCATTCATGCCAAAGCATGGCTCTCCCACGGTAAAACTTTAGGAGTTGAGAGATGATTATTTCTATAATTTAATCACCTATGGGAGAGCCATGCTTTGGCATGAATGGGCCGGCCATTCATGCCAAAGCATGGCTCTCCCACGGTAAAACTTTAGGAGTTGAGAGATAATTATTTCTATAATTTAATCACCCATTTAATATCATTGTTGTTATGCTTGAAAGTGATGAACAGTTATTGTATTCTGTATTTCGTTACTTTTTAATTTGTTTATTTTTCCATTGAACTTGAATTTTATTTTGTAAGTATGTAAATGTGAGTATAGTGTAGGCGTATAATGTTAGTTCATATTTAGATTTAGTCACTTTCTGGTGATTTTGAGTGTTTTCTCGGCCTACTCAAATGTCCTGCTGGCGGAAGTGTCTCGCTTCGGGTTGTTGATCTTGACTGATATCCTACAGGCTACACGATGGCTGGGGCTCGTATGCCGTCTGTATGAACAGGCCTACTCAAAACTAGGGCCCTTATTTCAAAAGCCCTACCCAGACCCTACACTGTACTCGTACAGTTTTCTTTAACTTTGTTTACGGACTAAAAAAAAGACAGACAAATCTGTGGTTTGTTCTGGCGTTTCTTCCCAGAGTGAGTCTTTGGAAATGCCGGCTCTATCTAGCTGTAAAGTCCAAGTTGTAAAAATATCTGAAAAGATTTACTTATCATTTCATTTAATTTTGACAACCGAATGGCGTAGTGGTTTGTGTAACGGACTGCTATTCCAAAGGTCGCGGGTTCGATTCCCGCTCAAGTCAAACATTTGTGTGCATGAACATTTAATGTTTGATTTGGTCTGGGTGTTTCTATGTATAATAAGTATGTATTTACAAAAAAAAAGTATGTATGTATCTATATCAGTTATCTAGCACCCATAGTACAAGCTCTGCTTAGTTTGGGACTATATGGCGTTGTGCGAATGTGGACAAAAAAAAAAAACTTTCTCAAAAAAAAAAAAACATTTATTTTATTATTTCATGATATTATTACTTTATTAGTTAGATGTTTGTGTTAGGTTACAGAGATAAGTGCACAAGAATTTTTCAATGCACAACAATATCACTCTGGGAGTGCCGACATAAAGTAAACACTTATAAACTAGAGTTCAATTGTTTTTTTACCATTTCAAAAAATGATCAACGCGCCCATAGAAGTTTTCACTATAACAGAGGTGTCGGTAACGGTAACAGTGTAGTAAGTTCAATGTTTTTTCCCATACAATGCATTCTTTTGTTTGTTGTTTAAAAAGGCCCAAAAAAGTTTTCACTTCAAAAAAAAACAAAAAAAATATCTTTGTTGCTTCAGACCTCCCTCATTTGTAATTCAAATCTTCAAGAAAAAGCCTCAAAAGGCGTCACCGTCCTTGTAATTGTTGAATTGCAAGATCACCTTTTGGTATCTAAATGGAAAATCCTTTCCGTTCTTGAGCTCCTTGGGGACACAGAAGCCAGGAGTACGTGCTCTGGGATGATTCTCTAGAGAGGGTCAAGACCATGTGATTTCAAGTCGCCCCCTTTCGATCGACGCCGCGTTTAACTAGTCCCTTTCTTGGCCCAAACACTAATCGCAAAGGCACCCTAGGAATTTTGGTAGGGTTAGCAACTATTAAAAAAAACATACGTACAGGCAACTACAATAAAGTAGAGAGCTTTCGGTCATCGCCACTGTAATTAACTAAGCTACTACAAAAAAACTATATTTACATATAATGTTTATAACAACTCAACTAAATGACTAAAACATTTTAGTTGATTGAATCAGAAAGGGCGTTAGTTGCGTTCACTCACTCCACCTGTACATCAGTCCACAATCGTACAATGTGAATACATACCTTATTCATCGAATGCAATGACGTCACTCTGTATTTTGGCACGTCCATTAATGGCGGTGAAAATATAAGGGTGATGTCACAGTTATGATGCGATTAATCGAAAAGGCAGATTTAAAAAAATCATCATCATCAACAGCCTATAACAGTCCTCTGCTGGATAGACGCCTCTTCTTAGAAAGGAGGTTTTGGTCTACTATACCACGCTGACCTAACGGGTTGGTATAGTTTTTGTTTCAAGTTTTCCTTCTCTTTGCAGTGCTGTTGTCCTCCGTAGCTTGTTCCCTAAGTCGACTTTTACGGCACCCACGGGATGAATATTTCTTATTCCTTTGAATCCTCCCTACAAAATCACGGGTTGGGCTTTAGTAACGTTACGTAATGAAAAAATAGATTGACACCGGTTTTCTGTGGGTATCACTCCGATCGAGCAGACCCATTCAAGCCGAAGTATGGCTCTTTCGCGAAGAGCAAGCATTATCATCATCATAATCAGCCTATCGCGATCCACTGCTTTAGGCCTCTCCCATTAGATTTTCCATCACTTACATCGATTTTCGGCTTCTCGCATCCAGCTCCTGCCAGCCATCTTGCAGAGAACGTATCTCCACCTGGCCTGTGGGCGTCCTACACCTTATCAACTTTATCCATAATTATATGTCATCTTATATGCATGGAAAAAATTACAGCAATTCATACACATACATAGGGTAAACCAAAAAAACGAGTGCGCATTTCGTAAACTATTATTTTTTATTAAAGCAACTTTATTATCAAATTTTGTATTTATTTTTTAAATTAAATTTAGGTTATTTAGGAACCTAAAATTGACCATAAAAATACTTAAACAGTCTTAAATTATTTAAACAAGACTTAAACTTAATATTCGTCCCGTGCATGCTCTTAGGGTGCTGTGATGCAAAGAGTACGCAATGGCAACGATTCATAGAAGCTAAGAGTGCGCAAGAGATCAGCACGTGCCAAACTAGTTTTTTCTAGCTGAAAAAGACTGACTCGGTGTTTCTTTGCGACACTTTCTAACCATTGTTTGCTGTCCTGTTTCTTTTCTGGATTGAATGATCAAGATTATTTTTCTAGGCCAGATCGTAGGCTAGTCTTCCTAATTCTTTCCTTGTTAACCTATAGAAATATGCATCTAATTTACGGCAATGATCTGCCAAGCTATTTTCTAAATCGGGGCTCAATACGCTCTTAAATCTAGCGAGGGACTCGGGAACGGTGTCCATTTTTAGTCTTTATCTTAGTGTTGCTACCGGAATATTTTATGCTGCCGCAATTGATCTCTTACTTTGACCTCTTGCTATTTTTTCTTTTACTTCCTTGAGGATGTCCACAGTAAACACAAATTTTCTATTTAGCTAATTTTTCTTTTGCTTCTTTGAGGATGTCCACAGTAAACACTCATTTTCTTTTGTATTTTGCCATCTTGTAATTCTAATCAAAAATCTCAAAACACAAGCAACCTGTTTATTTTCACTTTATGAAAGCTGAGAGCTGCGCACTCGAAAGCGTACTATTACCATTCACGTGTATTTAGTTAGGAACCTTAAATTTTTCAAAACACATTTGGAATTGTTAAAAAAACAGACAATTTATTTTAAGCCATAAAATCGAAGCGAGTTGTTGTCCAACGGTTCAACTCGATATGTGCCACTAATAAGTGGCAGTAGTGTTGCCATTTCAAGATAAAATAAAGCAGGCTATGAAAAGCCCAGATATTGTCGACTACAATTTTAGTCTCACTTACAAAGACACTTGTATATTTCTAAATACATATAGCATTTTTGATTTTCACTAGAGCTGAGAATGAAGTAATGACCCCTTCTTACCTCGCACAACCAATCCGTGGAACAAATTATCGACTGCGTTATTTCCAGACCGATACATCCTCCAAACCTTAAAAAAAAAAGTACTTTACTTGAAGGCCAGCTTGTAAGTCCTAGGTCGCAGGCCAGGTCAGCGGTGGTCCCTTTCCATCGTCTAGGTGACCGGCTGCTCATTTGCCCCCTATAATACATACATATTATAAATAAATTACACCCAGACACATAACAAATCATCGTGCTCATAAAACAATTATTTGTCTTTGGTGGGAATCTGGCTTAGCACTTAGGGTCACTAACCACTAGACGTAAGTCCGTGTGGTGACGGATTAAGAATACGGAATGTCACCACCCCTATTCATCCCGTGGGTGTCGTAAGAGCCGACTAAGGGAACAAACTGCACAGGACAACAGCACAACAGCACTGCAAAAAGAAGGAAAACTTGAAACAAACCCTGTACCAACCCGTCTGGCCAGCGTGGTATAGTAGGCCAAAACCTCCTTTTTAAGGAGAGGCCTACGTCCAGCAGTGGACTATTATAGGGCGTTGATGATGATGATGGATGTTGATGAACCACTAGACGCAAAATGGTCCATTTTATATTTTATGAGACGTACAAAATTTTTGCACTGAACTAGTCAAGATTTCAAAGCCTTGGTAATGTGACCTTAACAATGTCAATTTTGCAATTATGTACTTGTTGAAACTACAATCTCACCTTTGGCATTTAACTTACCGGTCGCAAGATCTTTCCCTCCCACATGAACACACCCTTATGACACCCTACCATGCGCACTCCAACCCCTCTTAGTATGGATCGCCCGCCAGTTCCACAGCGACCCTCGACGAGACACCATGCATCGGTAAGTCTTACCACTCTTCTTTTACTTTTGTTCCAATATTACATTTAAATTCAGAATTACGATTATAAAAGAAGTAAAAGCTATAATTTGAACTTTTTGGAAGTAGTCCGATTTAATTTTTGAATTTCGAACGGCAATTCTAATTTAGAACTGCGACTTATAAATAAGTTGAACTTTTCATTGAACCTGATAATCTGTTTCTAGGAAAAAGGTGTGCGGTTTGAATCTTAATAAAAAAGTTGTCGGATTATTTTGAGTTCGTATTTTATTATAATTATTTAAAAGTTTTAAATTACGAATTTTAATTTACAATTACTTTTTTATTCATGATAAAGTTTGTTTTAAAAACTTAAAATTCAAATGAGTGTATATAAATAGTTTAGTCGATTTTTAAAATGCTTTTATTTAAATAAATTAAATTAATATTATAATTTTGAATGAGTATCTAACACCAGTCGAATCTTGCGGTTTTACGTAACTCACTTTAATTAATGGTCACCCATCCAAACAGTTACCTCACGAAAACTCCTTCCCTTTTTTATATCATTAAGGTAGCAAATAAAGATTATGATTTAACAGGTATTATCATGTCTACTTGAAATTGGCCATTTTCTTAGGCCAACGAAGTGGTACTTAAGGGTAGAAAGTGGGGGAGATTATCTGAGGCTGTACAGAGATATATCTATTTGTACCCTGTTTCTTACCTGATTGAAAAGAGGTACCCATATTATTTAAGGTTGGGTAACAAACTTGTGTAGTAAATAACATGAATAATTCTTTAAACTAGTAATTTGGCAAATAAACTTACGTTCTGCTTCCTGGTCTTTTAATTTAACGAATTTTAACATTTCACAAATAAATTAATACCTACAGAGTATTTTCTTTTGACCTTGGATCATTAAATCAAACAAAAACCAAGGTCTTATAGCACGACTGAAGGAAAAAGTTCGAATATCGTTATTTGTTAAATTATAAAAAAGAAATGCGATTAAAAACGTATGTTTTGTATTTAAAAATTAACTGTGACGTATATCAATTTAAATAAAAATTGTTCTAACTTTATTCAATTTATTTTTACCATATTTAGAATAAAAATAAGGGGAAAAAATCTTCGAGAATCAATTACCAATAATATTATCTACAATATCACCTAGTACTGAAGTTGTGATGTAAAAAATCGAAGTTCAACCGTGTCGTGGTAGAGTAATAGTAGACCCCAACCTAGTTTAGGTGAAGGCACGGACGAGGGTGAAGACTCCTTTCTTCGAGAATCGATTCCCGGGATAGTCGATCTCTACATGCAAAATAATATATATATATATATATCTATGATTATTCGTATTGGTTGTGGTCCAAAAATGGTCCTCTATGCGTCGAGGAAAGTTTTGCCTTCATAAGGCGACCAAGCTCCTTCCTGAAGCGCAGAAGCCTCCTAGGGCGTATATAGGCATCTAGGAGCGATTTTGTATTAGGTATGACACTTGCCCGTTGTGTGGCAACTGCCTCGCATTCCAGGTTTCAAGTTTTCCCTCTCTTTGCGGTGCTGTTGTCCTGCGTAGTGTCCCTTAGTAGGCTCTTACGGCACCCTCGAAGGGGTGGTGACACTCCGTATTCTTAATCCGTCACAACAGGGAATTTATCTCTCTTAACTCTAAGTTTAACTTATTTCTTGATTTCAATCGAAATTCTCAATCGAATAAATAAGTAAGTAGTAAGTGCATACAAGAGCAAGTTAAAAGAATTTTTAGAAATGAAGGCATACTATTCTATAACTGAGTTTTTAAAGGAGAAAATATAATGGAATGCATGTTTTTAATAAGTACAATATACCCTCTATTAATACAGTTTTTTAATAAATGTGATACATTATTTATTACGATTATGACATCTTTTCTTTTTTAATAATATAATTGTTATTGTTATTTTAATTGATATTGACATAAAATAGAATTCTGACCTCGTATGATGTGTTAAATAAGCTCAAACTCGTTATTAATGTTATCTTAATGCATGCCTAAAGGTAGGATGTGGCAGAAAAAAATATTAAAACTGTAACACCTAATTATAAACCCATGTTCGCAATGAAAATAAACTGATTGACTGATTGAATCGAATTCAATGTCAATCGATACTAATATTATAAAGCAGATGAACATTGGATAGCCCATTTACCTAGGAATTCTATAGGCTTTATAACATCATGCCACGACTAATAAGATCCGAGAAACAATAAAAAAATGTTGCAGAAACGTGGAAAGTTTATTTTTTTATGCGATAGAATGCTAGTGTTTGAAAAAAAAAACAAAAAAAAATGAAATATATTTATGCCACATGCCTGTGACGTCACACACATTTGAGCATTTTGACCGTATATGAGAGAGGAATGTTTTACGTAATTGGGTGGGCCCTTGATCTCATGCTTTGCGATTTTTTAGACCATGGGGAGCCATGCCTTAGGCACAAATATGTAGCTCGTAGCAAGCGGAGTGACACAACGGCTTCATAGAAATCCAGTGTAAAGTAATTCTTTCGTTGTTCTCTCTGATTTCAGGCTCAAAGGTTGGCATCGCAGTTAACATTAAGTCCTTAATTCTACTATTTTAATATTGTATTAATAGACTGTCGATGAAATGTCGTCGGAATAGTTTCACAGTTTTCGTATTCTACTAACTATGTAAGATACAAATGTCGTCGATGTCTTTGTACTCGTAATAGTTGGGTAAACGGTACATTAAATTTTTAAGTAAATGATATATTTAATTTTCTAGATTTGTCAATGTTGTCGATATCACGGTTGGTGAGCCATTGTCACTAAATCGATAGTCTACTGACACTGTGAATTTATGTTATTAGAATGCCGACATTTTGACAGATGTCAATGGCATCTCAATAGCGTGTCAGTGGTTTTATACGTTAACATAAAATAGCAGAATTGAGGCCCTGGTCACCCGTCTGCTCGTATGTTATGTAAAAAAACTACTCGATTGCCCGCTACTATACTTATACCTGGACTTAGTGTGTCATATATAAGACATTAGACATATTTTCCTGATCATAACATCAAAATGATTATAATCTCATCAAGGCTTTAACAACACAAATGAATTTTATTTACAATCTAAACAGGTGTCATCGAATGGTAAGTCATTCATTTTTAAAATGGCCGACATGCAAATGTCGGCCATTTTGATTGGCAGCCTAAACACTAGAAAGGTTTAAGACTCATTATGTAAACAATGCCTTTCAAAAAGTGCTGGCACTATGCCTAATTTGAATACCTATATGACTTTTGATTGGATTTATTCTAAATTTATATGATTCTAATTTTCTCGAAGTGTCGATAACTTTTTAGTAGATATAATAATAATAATCTACCACATTCACGCAACGCCATCTAGTCCCAAACTAAGCAGAGCTTGTACTATCGGTACTAGATAACTGATATAAATACATATATACTTTTTTTGTAAATACATACATATTATACATAGAAACACCCAGACCAAATCAAACATTAAATGTTCATGCACACAAATGTTTGACTTGAGCGGGGATCGAACCCGCGACCTCTGGAATAGCAGTCCGTTACACAAACCACTACGCCATCCGGTCGTCATATATGAAATGATAAGCCAAAAGTCAGTTTATCTAAACTGAAATAAGAATGATAATTATGTAATTCGCGTCCATATTGTAAAACAATCGCTTGAGTACTTTGTAACTTATGTAGTCCACTGCTAGATAAAGGCCTCTCATCAGACAGGAGGTTTGGGCCTACTATATATCACGCTGGGCCAGACGGGTTGGTAAAGGGTTTGTGTCAAGTGTGTTAGTTTTCTGCGTAGTTTGCTCCCTTAGTCGGCTCTTACGACACCCATGGGATAAAAAGGGCTGGTGACATTATGTATCCTTAACCCTTCAGTACACGGATGGTTATTTTTATCATACTTCGATACTGTTTATTATATTTATTAAAGATTTTGCTGGCTTTGGAATGCGCTGAGATCATGATACATTTTAATAAGCTGTTAGCTTAAAAACAGACTCATTGAATTGGACAACAAAACATCACGTAACATACACTCCAAAGAAAATTAATTCGAATTGAGAATATCTTCCATTTTGAAATGGGTAACACGGCAATCTAACCCATTCCAAATTAATTTTAAATATTTCCAGAATGTTCCTAAGTCGATTACTGAATCCGAATCCTTCCTGAATACATAAACGAATGATTACAAAGGAGCCACAACGCTTTTATAAAACGTTTGAAACCTAATTTATATATATAATACAATTAGTGAGTAATTTTATTATGCAAGGGTGGACAGCAAATTATTTTTAAAATATACATTTTTGTGTTGTAAAAAAGATTAAGGATGAAAACAGAAAAAACCGGCGTGAGGGGTCTACGGACCTAAAGTCTGAACGAAGCTCCTTTCGATTTTTGGTAGACGTTTGCTATACAGGCATTGTAATTTATATTTTAAAATATCAAGTGAATAGAGTTAAATTAAAAAATATGATAAAATCTTATATCTAAAATTCTCGTGTCACAATGTTCGTTCCCGTACTCCTCCGAAACGGCTTGACCGATTCTCATGAAATTTTGTGTGCACATCGGGTAGGTCTGAGAATCGGCCAACATATATTTTTCATACCCCTAAATGATAAGGGTGACCCATCCCTAAATTTTTTTTTAGGCAAAGCAACGTTTGCCGGGTCAGCTAGTATGTGTATAGTAATGGTAAATGCTGAATGATCTGGGATAATTAAGTTAATAACAAATAAAAATTCAGAAAATAATAGTAAATAAAAACGCCTTGAGGAGTCTATGGACCCGCGGCAGAAGTTTGATGTGTATGAAATATGAAAAAATTGTGAGCGTCGACGCGCCAACTGAAGGGTCGCAAAAAAATCTTGTTAAACATTTTTCGGTCTCCCTCCCATCCGCTCAGAGCGTGTAACGAACGATAAGAAACTTTGTTAAAAAAATTAGAAAGGGTTCATACACGGCTGTAACTACAGCAAGTGTCGGAAAAAAGTCTTGTTACACATTTTTCGGTCTCGCTCCCGTCCGCTCAAAGCGTGTAACGCACGATAAGAAACTTAGTTCCAATAGTTAATAGATAGATTAATGGACAGATAGTTATCTTTTTAATTGTACAGTGAAAGTGTAATATATATGTATTACTTTTTTTTTTCCGTGCGGAAACCCCCTCGGATACCATCTATCGGTGGCATGTCGGACTCGAACCGACTAAAACCGCACGCCGTCTCGGGTACTAATAGCCGGGGAACCAGGTATACCCTAGAAAGGAAGTCCCTGGTGAAATATATATGTAGTACTAATTTTTTCCGGCGGCTTCCCCCGCGTTTATGTCGTAACGTAACGTAACGTAAAGTAACCTATGTTACTCGCCAGATATTACGTAAGTGGAACTGAGGGCTGAGTGCAAGTATATTTCACATCGACTAGCTGGCGAGCGCGTTTAGCGTTGCGATTGGTGGAGATTTCAGTGCGGGCCAATCGTAACGCCGAACGCTTTCACCGTGACGATCGAGTAGATGTGACATACACACAGACTAGGTCTTTTGTTTAGGTTAGATGGAATGGACTGGACGTGGAAAGAAACCTGCAAGAGGCTGATTAACTGATATAATTCGGTTTACGGGAATTAATGTGTGTCGAATTTGGCCCTCTTATAGTGTAGACGGCAAGGTGTACAAGTTTAACACGCCCTTATCTACCCCTTTAGGGATAAAGGCGTAAGTGTACGTAATATAAAATTTCATTGAAGATAGAAACTGATTTAAGGTTTTAAATTAGGTAAATTAATTCCCTTCTTTTAGAGAGGAGGTCGTGGCTAAGTGGTAACTGAGTGGGTTAACACATTAGAAGTTATTGCCAGGTTAGTCCATAAATGGGTGATCATTTCTAAATACACTGAGACCCCTCCGTGCCTCAAAGAGCGCGCTAAGCCGTTGGTCCCGTTTGCAACACCTGTGGCAATCGTTACGGGTATTTGGAGTCCTAAAAAGTCCAATTATAAACGCCTAGTTCTTATTTTGTGAAGGTCTGATGGTAGTAGCTCCGCGTAAATAATAGAAGTGCAGCCATGTCGTAGTAAATTTAACGCCCCCAACCCAGTTTAGGAAAATGATCTGAGAAAAAAGAAACCCTCTATTTAAGTCAGAAAAAAATATCTAATTCCAAAGTTTTGTTCACAGCACCACGATGGCAATTACCGCGGTGCTGGTGCTGACCGTGACTGGCACAGCCCACGCGTGGGGAGGACTTTTCAACCGGTTCAGCTCTGAGATGCTGGGCGCCAATTTGGGCTACGGAAGGACCGGCTATCGTCATTACCCTTATGCGCAGGTGAGCGTAAACAGATACATATTTTTGATTAGCAGCAGGTATAAGCAGGTGGATTTCCTGATGGTAAGTGACTATCGTAACACAAGAATCACAAATGAGTGTTTGTTCTTTTTCTTTTTTTTTCTTCTTTTTTTCACTCTCGTCTTACCCTCTTTAGAGCTGTATAGATTTTTGCAGCCTCGTATCTAGTAATACATTTTTGACAAAAGCAAAATCAATCATTTTTAATAGACACTTAATCTTTGTTAATCAAGGAAGGACGGCGGTCCATTTAAACGAATTGACATGTTTCAAATAACCGTTATTTCCAATGTGTGTCACATAATTACGGGCACGCGTAAATTTGTGTATATTTGACGCGTAAATCTCTTGTATTTACGGGCCATCGCACTTTAAGTAGGCTTAAAGGTCGACTGGCGTGATCTCAATTAATACATATTTATAGCCTAGGATTTGGTACAAAAATAAATTTAGTAGTAAGCTTAGCCAGTAAATGAATATTTATTTAGCATAGACTTAATAATAAAAATGAATAAATGAACATAGAATTGAAATTCGTTGCTATGTGTGTGTTAGCACATCATCTTCATGAAATCAACAGCTATAATAGTCCACTGCTGGACATAGGTCTCTCCTTAAAAAGGAGGTTTTGGCCTACTATACTGTGTTAGCATCCATAATAAATTGTGTTTAATAGTTTGACTGGTTTTTTATTATAAAGGGGTCAAACAAACAATTTCCTTCGTAGGGTACATCTGGTTCCCCGGCTACTGGTACCCGAGACGGCGTACGGTTTTTGGTCGGTTCATGCCCGACATAACCACCGGTTATGTCGGCAAAAAAAGGGTTCAAACAAACAGACGGGGTATCTAATGGTTATTGACTACCGCTGCTGATAGACATATTCTCCAGTAACCTCAGTCAATAGGTTAAAAGCAACGAAATAACGTGCTTAACACCGATTTTCTGTGAGACCGTGGTTTGAATCCGGTCGAGCCCATCCCATATGTGCGGAAGCAAGGCTTTCCGACGATACAAGATGATAAATTTTTAACCCCCGACGGAAAACGAGGAGTTTTATAAGTTTAACCTGTGTATCTGTCTGCCTGTGGCATCATAGCTCCCGAACGGATGGACCAATTTTGATGCACATTTTTTTGGTCAAAAGCCGATGTGATCGAGATGGTTCTTAGCTATAAATTTTGAAGATCAACTCACTTACTAGGTGATTACGGGATCTCACTAAAATCCAGAAGTCCGATTGATCTGAAATTTGGTACGCTGTTACTTTGATGGTATTTGCACGACATGGTAACCTAGAACTTGTTGCTGCATCAAGTAGTCTGCTGGATAGCCAACTCCTCAGAAAATTACAGCATATATACCATGTTTGGGCTTATTAGAACAGTCTCAATAAGCAGTTGTTGTTTTTTAAATTTTTTTTTTTGTGTCTAGGGTTTTTTAATGATGCTATTCTACCTAATATGATCGAAACAGTGCCAACAATCCAGCCAGACTGGATCAATTTCAGTCAATTTTGTGCTACCCTCTTCTCTTTTCCACCAGGAGCCGGAGGAAGTGTACGCAGAAGCCTTGGAAGGTAACCGCATCGATGATGGTATAGATGAAGCGGCTCATTGCTACTCAGCTCCTTGTGCTACCAACGGAGACTGTTGCCGTGGCCTGCTGTGTCTGGATACCGGTAAGTAAAGGTTTTCTTACTGAAAAGTCATGGTAATCGCCCAGAGATTGAGTGATGGGCACATTCCGCTCAATGTGTTTGGACTTCTAATGGAAAAGCTAAATTCGCCGAACTGTGAGGTTTGTGTTTCTTTAGAGGACGTGACACAATTATTATCGGAATGTGTCAGATTTCAATCTGAAACAAAACATCGTTTAAAAGTATTAAATATTACATCATCACATTATTATATTTTGCCTTGGCCTTTGATAGTCCATTTGTGGACATAGGCCTCTAAATCGTTGTTATTTCTTGTATAAGGTACGACGGGACTGATTTTCAAAACTGGCAGTGACTTATGTTGGATGTGTGTCTATTTATTTGTTTATTTCCTTCCAAATAATGTATTAAATTTCCGTCCAATTAAAAAACGCAATAGGGACCTAAACTACAGAATAAAATACAGGTACAAAAGATTCACTCTCTACAATCATTTAATAAAAAGCGACACCTACTTGGACATAATAAAGTTTGATTTAGGTTGCGCAGCAGTAATATTCACTATAGTTATATTATACAATATAAATATATATACATATATGTTAGTTTTTCCTCACTTTCTATCCCTTAACACGTTAAAACATAAAGAGGTAAAGGTATGTATTCGTAAGGTATGTAATAGGTACTCTGTTTTTATGCACAAATAACGTTTTAAACTAATCTTATGGAACCCAGCTCCCCCCTCCCCGGGCCGTCACTCTAACAGGGTATGCGGTGTGTCGAAACCGAAACGACGAAAACCACACGGTTGGCCACTCTGCCCCTGGAATAGAAGGGATCCGGAATAACTGGTATTGAAACATCCAGACTCCTCGTTTTAAACAAACCCAGACGAATACGAACGAAACGGTGTGTGGCATCCCACTGAATTTGCATCGACCCGTCACGAGCACGCAATTACTTGTAGATTCATACTTAAAGTGCGGACTGGCTGGCCTGCCAAACCAACCATATTTCAGAATAATAATAATATTTTCGGACATCTTACACACAACGCCATCTTCTTTCAAACTAAGCAGAGCTTGTACTATTAAAGCTAGATTGACTGATAGAATACTTTTATACTTTTTTTTGTAAATACATACATATTATACATGTAACATCACGGCACGACCACTACTAGGGGCCGAGCATCTATGCAAAATGTGAAAACGGGGAAAATTTATTCCTTTTGAAAGACAGACGAAAGCATACAGCATTTGATTTCGATAAAGTAAATAAAAAAATAGTTGAAATAATATCTCGTATAAACAAACTCTCGTCTGTGTGGTGACGGATTAAGAATACAGAGTGTCACCACCCCTATTCATCCCGTGGGTGACGTAAGAGGCGACTAAGGGAACAAACTACGCAGAACAACAGCACTGCAGAGAGAAGGAAAACTTGACACAAACCATGTACCAACCCGTCTGGCCAGCGTGGTATAGTAAGCCAAAACCTCCTTGCTAAGGAGAGGCTTATGTCCAGCAGTGGACTGTTAAAGGCTGTTGATGTGTGATGTAATAAACAATCTCTCAAACGTCTCCGGATTTTAAAATGAACTTAACATTTTAAAAAGAAACCCGCTGAAAACCGTATTTTCACTATACATTATAAATCAGGCTTTAATGTTCGTTAAAAATAGGTGTTCACGTAACAGCCCTCAGCCCGAGTATTTTCAGCTGCTAAGTTTGCCATGAATTATTGAAAGCTATTGCAAACGTAACTCAAGGCGGCTGAAATACATGGCTCATTATACAGGCCTACTATTGTAACTCGAACGAATTTCGCGTAGGTTTAGGAACTAATCGGAATTTTGGATATTTCTGCTTTAAATATTTATATATATATTGTGATAGGAATTTGATTTATTTGGTATTGAAATCGAGGATAACAAATAATATACATCAGAACTTACTATCATATAGCTTTGATTTTGACGGGATCTGTTGGACTAGTGGTTGGTGACCCTGACTGCGAAGCCGGAATTCGTGAGTTCGATTCCCACCCAAGACAAATATTGTGTGATGAGTACGGTCTTTTTCTGTGTCTGGGTGTAATGTTACTACTATATTTACAAGAATATAAGTATGTTTATTACCGGCCTGGTTACCATAGGGCATTTTCCCTTAACCTTCCTTTACCTATATTCCTATTTACCAGGGCGATAAAAACATTATTCTTATTATTACTAACTCAAAAATACCTTAAAGAAAAATGTATATGAATTTACTTTAATAGAATTTCGTTTATATTAATTTCATGTGCGGTTTAACTTTAAATTGGGTTAAGGTTTAGTTTAGCTCTCCAATAAATTAACAATCATTAATTTTGTAACGATTCAAAAGGTTTTGACTAGTATCTAATGAGATTCTTTCTCTTTCTCTAATTTCTTTCTAACGAGACAAAGCAAGAAGATTAATTGCGGTAAAAAAAAACGAATTGAATGGGGTAGCTAAAGTAATGGCTACGACCATCCTTCAGCACAAATAGGCCCAAATCAAGGCGGGTTTGCCTCTCCCACCTGATTCCAGGTGAAGGACTCAGAGGAGTCAAATGACGGCTACACACTGATGACTCTCGAGTTGCAGGTGTCTATGGGCAGCGGTAGTCACTTACCATCAGGTGACCCGTCAGCTCCTTTGCCCCTTTTACCGTAAAAGAAATCAAATGGAAAACGGGGCTGAGACTGCAATAGTTTAAAAGACCGGAGTCGTATACGTAATCACTAGACAGGGGCATTAACTGTTTTGTGTGATAATATATCAAATAAAATACTTTTTATGGAACATTTGTAAATTTATTTACGTATTGTATGACGGTTTGTTAATCTAACATGATGATTAATGAGTCGCATTTATTAATCATCCCGTTAGACTGATTAATGAACTCACTTCAATGATATTTACTAATATAACAAACATACAATAAAATAACATACAATGGTCCTATTTAAATTACGGCCGAGGGAATGATTTGCTGAAATTTACTCGTTAAACTAAACGCGCTAATGGTTCGTTGATTCATATCAAATATTGAATTTTGTTTACAGAAGGACGATTTATTCTTTTTCTAATTTATAACTACTACAAAAATTAATGAAAAACAGCGCCAATGTATTGGGCATACTTATTAATTTTGATCTTTTAAGGCTGAACATAAGTTTGACTAAAAGTATCATGTTGGATAAAAAGCTTGAATTTACGAAACGTGATTTACAAAAAGGTATCATCATATTTTATTATCCTTCTTTCCCTAGTCCGTTACTATAGTGGTTAGTGACCTGGACTTTTAATGGATTTGATTCAAATCCAAGTTAATAATAATAATAAGAATAACCTCACACATCTCACACGCGGCTATCTGAACCCAAACTAGGCTATGGTATCCAGAATGCTGATAAAACTACTTATATATTTCTAAATACATACATATTATAGATAAATTACACCCAGACCTCAGATAGCCTTTACTAGTCCACTGTTGGACATAGGCCTCTCCTTAGAAAGGAGGTTTTGGTCTACTCTATCACGCTGTCCAGACGGGTTGGTATAGGGTTTGTTTCAAGTTTTTTCAGTTAGTTTCATATAAATTATAACATGCGATTGTGATTGTGCGATTTTTATCCGTGTGGTGACGGATTAAGAAAGCGGAATGTCACCACCCCTGTTCATTCCGTGGGTATTGTAAGAGACGACTAAGGGAGCAAACTTCGCAGGACAATAGCACTGCAAAGGGAAGGAAAACTTGAAACAAACCCTGTACCAACCCGTCTGGCCAGCGTGGTATAGTAGGCCAAAACCTCCTTTCTAAGGAGAGGCCTATATCCAGCAGTGGACTATTATAGACTATTATATGGTGATTGTGATTTTATTCCATCCCTGCCGGTGACTATGGGCGGCAGTAGTTCCTTACCATCAGGTTAGCTAGTTTGCCCCCTTATACCATAAAAAACCTCTTTTGGTTATAAAGATGTGAAATCAAGCGGGATAACTTCGAGTTTCAGAAGTAGGGGCTCCGCGTTCGTCACTTGCTCAGCCCTCCCATAACTTATAATAATGTTCTGTAAAATATTCTCATATTTTCTGCTTTGCTGAAAACATAAAACAAAATAAAAAATTCCATGCGAAACATTTAAAAATTCAGATTCACTTACAGAAGAGAACAGTTTTGTTTTTCTTTTGTATGCCTTTTATATTGACTTTGTTGTTTATTTTTATTTGAGCTCCTGAAGTTGTACATGATGGGTATTTTCTTTGTGTTTGACGAGCTCTGTTTTTTGATTTGGTTTTTTGTTTTTTTTTTTTTATAAAGACAACTCCCGCATTAGGGATTTTTCCTGTGTCTCGGGGGACTTTACAAACATAATGAAACGGACACAAAGAATAACCAGACTTAGAGCAACAATTTGTGGATCACACAAAGGTCGTCCCTTGTTTGGCTCGGACCCAACACTCAGCGTAATAGTGAGCGGCGGTGTAGCGACCGCTTAAACCACTACGCCATCCGTGCAGTCTATGGTTACTTATTTGACAACAGGGCATAAGATATTAGGTTCAATTCCTGCTCAGTTAAAAAATAAAAAATCATTAACTCGGTAAAAAAAAACTACAAAACAATCGCTTAACAGTGATTTTATGTGAGACCGTAAAATCACTCTGTTTGAGTCCATGGCTTTCCCACGAATAAAAATCGTCCTTTTACAAAATTTTACACAATCCAGGTTTTTTTTTATTCAAATACATTTATTGATCTGACGGTTACTAATCTTAAAATATAATATTTTTAATATTTTTTCACATCTAACACACAACGCCATCTAGTTTTTGATACTGACTGATAGAATACGTCTATACTTATTCTTTGTAAAGACATACATACATTAACACCCAAATTCCGAAACAAATATTTGCAGGTCATACAAACATTTGGTCCGGAACCCGGGAATCGAAACTGAGACCTCAGCACAGCAGTCGCATAGC